TCATCTTTCTGAATTTGAATCAAGGCTGCATCTTGAATGCTAAAACCCTCTCTTAATGAGGCTCTTAAATACCTGCAGGCAGGGGTTTTATCTCCCTCTGCTGGTCACAATAAGCACATCATCTGTTGGCTTAGTAAAAGTTTAGAACTCAACTGTAACTGGACATCAAGTGGCACTGCGTCATTCCATCTTTTTATAGCCGTGATCCGGGAGTTTCCCTACAGGCCTGTGTTGTCTGTCTCACTTGGAGTTTTCTTAGTCACCACGTTGTGTTGTTATCCTTGCTGCAGCCGAAAAACATCCTGTGGGTTCAGCTCATTTTCTCCTATTGTTGACATTTTTGGAGGGCTGAAAGTGTGCGAACTCACACTGACCTGTTTGACCCCGTCAGCGAGACCAGCTGCCTTAAGGAAACAAAGATCCAGCAGGGGATCAGGAATAATGCTTTCCTTATGCCACACTGCATTGTGTGACTATGAGTTAAATTGCACTGATTGCCAACGGGTTCCTTGTGTCCTATTATGTCTTTCAGAAGGAGCACGCGTTTGACTCAGACGTGGAGTCGCACAGGTTCAGATCTCTGCCCGAAATGAGCAACAGATCAGCCAATGACCTCAGTAATCTTGAGGTAATGCTCTGATAATTGGTTTGTACCAACGTAGGTGCATGCCTGTGTGGAGAAAGAATGGGAAAGAGGGCATGGCCTATCTCTACCAGTTACGTCTTGCCATGTCCATGCTTCCATTCCTAAATTGATCAGTTTTTGTTTTGTTTTTTCTTTTTCAGCTTAAGCCTACACTCTCTCAGCTCCACGCTGATCTGAAACTCTATGAGCACCACTTTGAGTGGCTCAACAGGGTTTCAAAAAAACACCAACACCCTGCTGTGCCCAAGCTGGTGGAGATGATCAAAGAAATGAGAACTCTCATTAATCTGCTGCACCGTCAGGTAAAAAGCTTGAGTTACTTTTGTGCTGTCTTAGTTTAGGTAAAATCACTTTTTAACACATTAGTGCTTTACTCAGTTATCTCTAATAAGGCATACATTTCACCCCAGATGTAACAAACCGGATAATCCATACATACAAAGTCAAAACAAACACATCAAGATATAAACATGTACTAATGGGAAATAGGACAACGTACTGAACAGACTGACTAAGATGTTTTCTATGCTTATTTAAAAGGGCTTTTTTTTGGTAATGACAAAACAGACACATCACTGTGCTTTGATATTCAGTTCTTCACATAGAACCTTAATTTTATCATATCTGGTAACCGACTTCGACATTCTTACCTTAAAACCAGATGAAAGAGTAATTGCCTTATCTTATTTGGAATATCTCAGTATCTACCAATTATGCAACATGCTTAAAGTCAGTCCCTCACCATAATACTGCCACTTTCCAACTTCAATGCAGTTATGGTGATTTTGAGATTTTCTTTTTTGACAAGTGCCTTTTAAACTTGGTGCCTAAATTAACATTAAAGATAACAAAGATTGTCCAGTATTTCACTGGCCTGTCTTAACATTTTGATCAGTATTTACAGTAAATAAATACTTGCAAATACTGGCAAATATTATTTGCCCGGCTAATAATCCAGTTGATGAAACTTTTTCTGCTTCTCCGAGATGTAACCGAAACTCTCTTGTAAATTATGATTTGAATGATGCTCTACACCAAGGGTGTCCAAAGTGCATTTCTGGCCCTTATATTAGTTTTGTGTGCTCGAGAATAGCATAACTGTGGGCCAACAGCAAGTGGAGCAGATGCAGATGGTAGTTTAAGATACTCTATAATCTTATCTTCTATTTTTTTTTTTTTTTAAAGAAAACCAAATAACTTTTTTTGATAAATCTTATTTATAGATTTAGTTGTCTTAATTTATTGCTATGTGAGGATTACCTGGGCTGAAATGTATATTTTGTGCAAATTTCATTTCACCCTTTCCTTTAAAAGTATATACACTGAAAAACAACAGCACATCGGTACTTTTTTCTTATATGGTTTGATATTTCCCTCAACAGATGCAGAAAATCGAAGCACCAAAGCTGACTAACCCAACACCTTCCCTGCCTCCCCACCTTCCCTATCACTTTGATGTCCTGCAGTCCAGCCACGAGCTCCTCCAGCACTTCAAGCTCTTCTGCGACTGGGCATACAGAGCATTCCTTAGCCTCAAGCCCAAAGCTTCAGCAGTGCAATGATGATCCAAACAGCAGGCAGCTGCAGAACCAGCAGGGTTCATCCTCATTCAAACTGCAAACAGGGCCATGTCAGTGTACAATAAGGCTCAAATCAGTGCTGTGTGTGTGTGCGTCTGTGATGAAAAATGATAGCTGATAAGGATGTGGCCACACTGCAGCATGACCATCAAGATTCCCGTTAAAACAAACTGTCACACCACACAGATCATGTCAAGATTCTCCTGTCTCCCTCCTTATAGCCTTTTCTTTGTAACCATTGTTATTTATGTATTTATTTATTTATTGAATGTTAATAATTTATTTATTTTTTTTATTTATTTGATGGTCTAATGCATCTTTCTAGCCTGTATTTCCTTACTAACGTGAATTTATTCACCAATATTTTGTAGTCTCTCTTCAAATTAGCTTCTATCTATTTCGCAAACCGAAAAAAAAAACTATAAAAGAAAAAAAGAAACAAAAAAAATTAATAACAATAGCACTTTTTCAACCTGCAGCTCTTACATTCTTTTTTGTTTAAACTTTTTCAGTTTTTATTGCATTTGTGTATTTCTTCATCGAGTTGTATTTTAAGTAGATGTAGCATCTTCTACCTTACAGCGGCATTGAAATAAACATTTATGCAGATGATAATATTACCTCTACATAATGGTAAATATACTGCATGATATCTTACCAGCCGATGCCTTAACAAAAAATTTTTGCATCTATTTGAAAAAAAAAAAATAGTCCAATCATTAACCAAAGAGGCGAAATCTTGCCTTGAAACATGGACAGAGTTTCTATTTTCCAATGCTGACTTGTCATGTACCACAAAAGGAGGCGCCTGTATGTAACATTGTGGTAAAGTCATTTGAATGTGCCCTCTTGCTGAGCACTGATGGTCCTAATTAGAGTCTTTGCACAAACTTGTTGGGATTGGCCTCTTGGATGAGTAAGAAGGCTGATTTTGAACTTGTGCTTTGGGCTAGAATTTTTTATTTTTTTAAAGCACCCAAAGCCTTAAAATACTATGTATTGTGACACTATGTTCTGTACAGGTGTACATAAATGTACAAGAATGTAAATTGTTGTATACAAGTGCTAATGTGTATCATATTGTTTTCAATAAGATAATGGAGATTACCGGTTTTTATCACTATCATTCTTTATTCATTCCTATTCTAGTATTTGTTACAGTATTGACTATTTATTTAAGTGACTTGATGGAACTATTTATTTTGTGCTGCAGTGGAGCAAGTCTCCTTTCCCTTTTGTACTTTTATACAGTTTTTAATCTTATTTGCTTTATTGTACTATCTCGTTTAAGTTATTTCTGTCATATCAGATGCCTTTTCCACACACTGATTGGCCTCAATGTGAAACGTGCCTTGGTGAAATAAATGATAAAGAATGTGCACAGTGGCTTTGACTCATTGGTTTGCATGGCCTGCTTCGACACAAAAAAAGATAACTCATCATAGAGCAGAAAATATTTCAAAGCAAAGCAAAATTTCAGGGAAATGAAACATCAGTATCAAGCAATGGCATCGCTACTCATTGGAAAATAGGAAATTAGTATTCCAGACAAGGAAAACAGAGCAAGAAGTCAGAGATGAAAACAGGAAGCTGATAAACATAACAGCCAATCAGAAGACAATATTTTCATGTTGAGAATTTTCTATTTTTCAGTCACCAATATTGTTATATCGCGATTTTGAAATCTTTCACCAAAGCAAATCTCACATTAAACACAGTTCCAATCCTTAGTTTGATTTGATTTTGTCAAAAAATTTTAAGAAATGATTGAGTCATTTTTTTTTTTAAATTGCCAGTGCCACACTTAGTTTTTATATCTACACCTCCTCCCCCCACCCTCCTTTTGAAAGGTTGATGCAGAGACTAATTTTGGACCATTTTTCCTCGATATTCTTTCTAGAGCATCCAAAATTCTGGGATCTGCTCTCTTCTTTTCATCTCATCATGATAAATGATGCAAAGGAACCAGGCTTGTTGGTGGAAGAAAGAGAATTCATATTGTCATATGGTGACTGCACAGAATACTCACTAAAATAACATTAACATAGCATAAAACACTAAAATATGTGATGGTAGGCCAGAATACAATTATTTCTGGATTCCCCAGCCATCCAACTCACTTGTGGCATAACATTTTGGGATTATAAACTAAGCAATTCCCAAACAGGCAACCACTCTGTGCTGCAGGTCTGACATTAAGCATTGAATTTTTTTTTATTAGCTTTTTTGCATCCTTCTCATTCACCAGTGACAATAAAATTACTTTCTGCATTAATACCAAGGATACACAGTATAACATGGATTAGAAGCTGGACTTGTATTGGCTTCCAAAACCTGCGAAATACTTTATTAAAATATGATTATTTTTGTATTTTTTTTTTCAAGATTTGCTATATATGGAAAATTTAATATTTTGCGTTTTAGCATTATTTTTTGCTTAAAATTGCTGTTGAATTTCACTTTGTTAATGATAAGATTGAACTGGACTCCCACTCTACGGATGGATATGTGAGACCAGACTACGACGCTGGAACTACGTTTCCCATAATTCTCCGCGGTGAAGTAACAGTAAAAAAAAATGTTAATATAGTGTAGAAATGTGTATGAATATAATGAGTGGATTGATATCTGGAACCTGTCTTCTGGGAAATATTCTTTTTTTTTTTTTCATGATGCTGCTAATATTATTTTTGTTTTAGAGCTCCTGGCCAATGGTAATCACCCGTCTTTTCACCAAAGTAGCCAATCAGCATAGCCCTTGTTGGAAAGCTGAGTCGGGTGGAGGATTGTGTTAGTTTGCGCTGTGTTTATTGTTAAGGTTGTGTGGATTAGCACTGGGATGCCCGGTTTATATATATAACAGTCACACTTTAGCTTTAGGACGAGTTAAAGGGGTGCGGTATGTACCGGTTTAGTACGTATTGTTCTATTCACTAAGCAGTTTAACGTCGTTATTTTTTTTTCTTCACGGGGAGCCAGATTAGCTTATAAAGCAGGCCACTCATTGCTGTTGTTGATACTGGTAAATGTTTTGTGTACGTGTGTTTTTGACCAGCAGCTGTGTAGGTTGTGCTAGTTCCATTTTATAATCGGTTAAAATCGATTTGTATGTGCGTAGCTGGAATGTAAGAATCTGTAGAGCGGGAACCGACACGGAGCCGACGGCCCGGAGGAGGGAGGAAGATCAGGAAGGAGGACAGGCTGGGAGCTGAACAATTCAAACATCTGAAAACGACAGGCTCCAGAGTATCCGGTTTCCATGACAGCTGCAGTTTCTCGTTTCTAACACACGACTCTAGGAAATGTGATCATAAAGTCATGAATCCGCTCCCGACTTGATCTCCACTTGTGTCCGAGTTCCCCCCCATCATCTGTCACTGGTTCGATCCGCTTATGGCCAACTCTGTAGCGTTGGTGGTCCAAGCAGAACTCCTGCCGCCCCAGTCCGCTCCTCCCCTCTCCTCATTCCCATCCCTGCTGGGACCAGGAGAGGATGGGGAGGAGGACAGGGATGGAGGGCAGCTGGTGGATGGAAACAAGGGGGTAGTGGAAGGTGGAGAGGAGGTGGTTCTGGATGTTGTTGCTTCGTCTGGATCAGATCTGCCTTCAGCTCAGCAGCCAGAGCAATCAGAACATCCTTTCCAGTGTCTGGACTGTGGGAAGAGCTTCAGGTGGTCATCCAGGTTAACCCACCACCAACGCAGCCACAACAATGAGAGACCATACCGCTGCAACCTCTGCCCCAAGGCCTTTAAAGGCTCCTCTGCTCTTCTCTACCACCAGCGGTACGGCTGCTCAAAGTTTTGCTGGTGTTTAAAATATTTCTGTTTACCAAACCAACTTGACGAAGAATAGTTCTGAAAGGATCTAAAAAGTGTGGATTGCATCTGTGCTTTGTAGAATGACCTTTTTACTGTAATCACAGTCTTTTTGGAATATTATTCTACCAGCTCCATGCATCTAGAGGCTGAAATTTCTTGTTTTTGAAATAGTTTAAGTCTTGTCAGAATAGCTAGAGAGCACTTGTTATCACACATTTGTTACAATCCATGCTTTAATCTAAAGCATTTTATTGCAGGTCTAGTTTTTAGTCATACCAAAGTATGCAGGAGACTTGACCCCAGGTGTAAGACTCTTTCAGCGTCTTTATTAGCTCCTTTCATCTTCCCTTAATAAATGTTTTCCCACAGCATGATGCTGCAACTACCATGATTCACCCCCCTGGACACTGTGTTCAGTAGTCACATGTAGCCCTATAGACCAAAAAGTAACGTTTTGCTCTGATCTAAATGGATCTTTTTCCCCTTATGCAAGCAGAGCACTCTTCTGCAACATGTTGACTTTTAAAAAGTTGCACTGGTTTTAATGTAGGGGTATGATTAAGTTGATACCTATGCATAGCAGATTTTTTAAAACTTATCTTCTATTTATTAGTAAATTAGAAGAGACTGTAACGTGTTTGATTCACATTCATGCTTATCTATGCTGTAGTTCTAAACAGTTTGACTTGTTTTGAAGGTCTCACTCAGGAGAGAAGCCTTATAAATGTGAGGACTGTGGCAAAGCCTTCAAACGCTCCTCTCTTCTCCAGGTAGGAACATTTTCACTTCAAGGATTTTTAGATGCAAGAATAATTGCAAAGTTTCACAGCGTCTTTCTGCTCACAGGTCCATCGGAGTATTCACACCGGAGTTCGGGCCTTCTTATGTCCTTACTGCCCGCTAACTTTCAAATGGAGCTCTCACTACCAGTATCATCTGCGGCAGCACACTGGGGAATGCCCATACCCATGTGACATCTGTCCCAAAGCGTTCAAGAACTCAAGCAGCCTGCGGCGACACAAGAACGTCCATCTCGGCCTAAAGCCTTACACGTGTTCAGTGTGTAGCAAGTGCTTTACTCAGTCCACGAACCTGCGGCAGCACATGAGAATACACACAGGAGAGAGGCCGTACGTCTGCGGCGACTGCGGTCGACGCTTCACGCATTCGTCGAACCTGGCTTTGCACAAGAACTCTCATAATAACGCAGGAGTCAAAGAGGGCAAGAGGGGAGAGGGCCGAGAGAAGGGGAATGAGGTAGTGGAGGTGGTGGTTGGGGCGGAAGAAGTCACATCAACCATGTTGACAGACATGGTGGGTTTCGTGAGCCAGGAGGGAACTGACGGAGTCGGAGTAGGAATGGAAGAAGTGTTCCTGACAACTACCTCCTCTGGTCAGAATCCGAGCCTTCTCCCGCAGCTCACCCTGGCGCCTTCTGGGGAGGACGTGTGCACATCCAGGGCCATTGGGACGGAGGTTCATCTGAGCACCGACAGTGGGGCCAGCGTGCTGTTGTACAGCTGCGGCAGCTGCAGCCACACGTTTGGCACTCGAACGGACCTGGAGCAGCACCAGGCCATCCACATGGTTACTAGTGAACAGGACTCAGCCGGCGAGGCGGGGCATGGGGCTGGGATGGTGGTCGGAGATGGACTTGTGGGAGCTGGACACCTGCTGGCTGACTTTGAAGAGGTAGTGGAGACCACCACTGTGGCTGAAAGTGGACATACGACCGAGGTGCTCCTTGGTTTGGCAGAAAGGGTCGATGGCAGTAACGCTGTAAGTGGGGGAAAAACAAACTCTTCCACTTTGCAACACACATGTCATGTGCACAACAGTTTTTTCCAGTTACAAGTGCAAGAGTGAAAAGTATATAATTAGGATTTTATATTATAGAAACAAAGTGCATACTTTGGTTTAGAAAAATTATACAAGACTTTAAATTTATAGAGCAATTCATAAAAATATGGATTGCAGTGTTATATGGAAGAAAAACAGTCTCATTGGAATCTGCCTTTTTTTTAACACCGAATTTTAAACACTGAATATTTTAAGACATTGAATTCCTTACACGCAATTTTTATCTGGTAAAAATTCAGCTGCAAAAATTCCGCTGAGCGCAGCCATTTTGTCACTTGACCAAATGAGCTAATTTCATTTGCTAGAAGCTCCTAAACTATCGAGTGTAGATTGCTTTGGCTTGAGTTCACCAGAAGGTCAACACTTTTGCGGCTGAATTTTTTGCAGCAGATTTTTTTGGAGCTGAATTTTTGCTGCTGAATTTTTACCAGATAAAAATTGCGTGTAAGGAATTCAATGTCTAAAAAAAAGTCAGTTTTTAAAATTTGGTGTTAAAAAAATTCAGTGTTTAAAATTCGATGTTAAAAAAAAAGGCAGATTCCAATGAGACTGTTTTTCTTCCATAGTATTAGTTGTGAAAGATTTGTTTTACTTTATACATTGCATTTTATAGCTTGTGATCACGTCCCTATTTATGGACTTTAGAAGAACATTGCTTTACTTATAGGTATTGCAGTAAAGGGTGTGGATGCAGATGCATGCCAGCACTTTAGATTTTTAGTCATAAAATACTTCCAACTACCATTCCAACTATTTTACGTAAGTTGATTTCAGACTCTATGCTGTTAGTTTACTGGATATTGATCTACAGACTTAATTGGTTCAGTTCAGGTTGATATGTGTTTCTTTGTGTGATTTCCTTTGGTATGTCTGCAGAATGTGAGCACAACCCAGGCCCAGTTTGACCTGCTGCAGAGCTTCACAGAGGTGACTCAGAGCTCAGAGGCTGTGCAGCCAGAGGCCAGAACCACATGGGCCGGGTTGTCATGTGGCTACTGCAGTAAGACCTTCAAGACCAGTGCAGGCCTCAATAGACATGTGTCACTGGTGAGAAGGACAGTTATAGCTGTCATTGTTGAACAGTTGGTCAGAAGCCAAGACCAACATTTATCTGTCTTTAAATAAACTTTATCTGCTTGTTTTTTTTTCTGCTGTTATTCCTCCAGATGCACCCTCTTCCATCGCAGTCACGCTCCCAGTTCAGCTGCTCCGCCTGTGACCGCTCTTTCCCTCTGCTCTCATCACTCCTCACCCACCAGCACTCCCACACCCCAGAGCAACGCCTCCTGGCCGAAGCAGAGGCAGAGATAGTGTGTCCTCCATCCCTTTCCCTGTCTCTGCCTCTACCCTCCTCCCCCAGCCAGGCTGACAAGCAACATGAGGACCAGAGGGAGATCCATGTCAACATCATCACAGTCGAAGAGGAGACGGAGGAGCACCAGCCCAAACCCGCTAAAGCCCCTAAAAAGGCAGGATCTGGCAAGAGTCTTCCTGCTGGAGGTAGATTTCGTTTCTGTAGAAGCTACTGACAGTTGTAGTGTTAGAAAACACCCCTGCACTAATAATCTCTTTACTCCCTCAAAAACCTTTCTAGAGAGGCCCTACCGCTGTTCGGATTGTGGAAAGGCCTTTAAAGGTTCCTCAGGACTGAAGTACCACATGCGGGATCACACCGGAGAAAGGCCGTATCGCTGCACTGAGTGTGGAAAGAGCTTCAAGAGATCCTCTCTGCTCTCAATCCATCAACGAGTAAGGCTCTTTGTTCGGTCCCCTCAACTTTGCCTAAAAATGACAAAAATAAAGCAAGTTATAGTATTTTCTCTATTTTTCCTGCTTAATTTTCATAGAACCACAACAATAGAATGACAGTATGATTTTTATAATATAATACATTTGTAGGCTCATTTTATAACACACAAGGT